CCCCCCCCCCTCCCGACCTAACCGCGCAGGAAGTCAAGGCGCAGGCCGACGCATTCATCCGCGGGCGCCTCAGCCAGCATCTGCCCGGCCATAAGCTACCTCTGGCCAAGGTGAAGACGATCATCTCCAAGCACTCCTGCGATACGCCGCTGGTGAGGGCTGTCCAGATCCCACCCCGCCTCCTCTCAGCCCCGCCCTCTCATACGTTAAGCATACGACGCACCCTCACCGCCCGCCGCCACTGCTACTGACTGCCCCTTTGGCCCCGCCGCGCACACAGTACATCGGAGCGGGTGTGCCGGCCGGACTTGCTGGGATGGGCGAGATCTTTATCCGCTGGCTGACAAAGCTCTCGTACCAGAACGCCGAGAGGGAGAAGAGGCCGACCCACGCCGTAGCCCTGCTAGCACCCCTCTTTCCCACTCAACCGCTACTCTGGCCCCCGCTCGCTCTCTGCAAACCACGGGGCGGCGGGTGGGGAAGCGGGAAGGGTGCGTCCCAACATGGCCGATCACTCACGCACGGGTCCTGGCTCCTTTCCCCATGGATACTACGCGCGTAGTGGGACTCCTGCTGCACTCGGGATGTGGAGATGCAGGGGACACCCGGCCCCTCGACACCGCACCAGCGGAGAACATCTTGACCTGGTCTCGCCCTATTCATTCGGCCCCAAAGTCCACCCCCACAGGACGTCGCTTAAATACCGGGACCTCAAGGAAGCCATCGGGAACGGCAGTCAGTTCGACTTTCTGCTTCTCCCCGTAAACGAGTTTGAGGCCCCCCCCCCCGCCCCCCCCGCCCCCCCTCCCTCCTCCTCATTTCTGTGTGTGAGCACCTCCTCCCCACATTTCAGACACGCATGCTCGAGAAGGTCGACGAGGGGGGGCGCGTGACCATGGACGCGAAGAGGGTCAGGGAGGTAGTCGAGCAGCGGCACGACATCTTCGCCGGCTTGCCTCTCGATGGCCTGCCAATCGACCAGTTGTTTGCCGGCCACGTTGACGTGATCGGCCGCGGTAGCCCGGGCAGCGACGAGCGGCCCGCGAAGAGGGGCCGCGGCTCCTCCCGCGCGACGTCGCCCCCGGTGTGAGTGTCGGACGTCATTGCGTCAGAGGTCCCTCGCGGACCTGCAGCTGCACCCCATAGCGCATAGGTCGCCGTCGCAATGTGTATCATATATCAGCGCATACATGCACTGTGCATGTGCATGTGCATGTGCGTGTGTTTGCCCAACATATTGCCCAAATTCGTGCCGCCGTGAGTGGGAGAGTCCGCGTCTTTCGATTTTTCTTCTTCGCGCTCGCTCCTGCACGGGTCTCTTTTGTTTTGTGTGCACGCGTAACCGCACGGTAAGGGCGTAGACGCCCTTACGCACGGGCGTGGGATCGACGCGAGAAGGCGAGCTCGTCCATCCCAAACTCGGCCATTCCAACGGCTAGAGACCGCTCGCTCAAGGCTGATCGGCTAGACGAGCGGTCTGTAGGGCTGGCGGCTGAAAATCAATCGCGCTCCCGGGATGGGGAAGTGTGCGGAAAATCGTAAATCTTTTTCATTTTTTTAGCTTCCCTGGCGTCTCACCGCTGTGTATATGTCAACGCCCTGGCCGCCGCCGCCGCCACCCTCGCCCGCGCCACCGCCGCCGCCTGCGCCCTCACCGCCGCCGCCGGCTCCACCGCCGTGTGATGACCGCGTGATGTCAGCATCGGTATTTTGCTCACCGTCGCCGCCGCCTCTGCTGGCCGCAACGTGCCACGCCGCTCTGGACTGCACCTCGCCGTGCGGAACCACGCCAGCGGCCTTCATCGGGGCCATCCCGCGCCTGCCCATGGCAGGCAGCCTGCAATGCTACTCGTGTGTGTGGATGTCTGGCATCTTTCACGGCCCGCCGCGCTGGTGCGAGTTCGCTGCCGATGGCTGGGTGCAGGACGCATGCTGTATGCGGCTGCAGTGCTACTGCGACCCGCCCCCTCCGCCGCCGCCCCCAGCCCCCCCGCCGCCGCCGCCCGGACTCCCGCCTCAGCCGCCGTGGCCGTCGCCACCGCCGCCGCCGCCGCCCATGCCCTCACCGCCGCCGCCTCTGCCGTCGCTGCCGCTCCCTCCTCGCCCTCCGCGCCGAGGCTACCGCTATTTTTATGCCGACGAGGAGGGCGAGGAGGGCGAGGAGGGCGAGGAGGGCGAGGAGGGCGAGGAGGGCGAGGAGGGCGAGGAGGGCGAGGAGGACGAGGAGGGCGAGGAGGGCGAGGAGGACGAGGAGGTCGAGTACGAGCCGTGGCGAGGCTCCCGATACGAGGGCGACGAGGGCGACGAGGAGGGCGACGAGGGCGACGAGGAGGGCGACGAGGGCGAGGAGGACGACGAGTCTCTGCGCTTCGTGCCCCTCAGCGCACCAGCTCCTCCTCCGCCTTCCGCTGCCGCCATCGAGCCCACGACAGCCGCCGCCGCTGCCGCCGCCGCCGCCGCCATCGCCGCGGGCGCCCGTGCACCGGCTCCAGGTTGCACGTATCAGAGCGTCGCGAGACCGACTCTGCGGGCTGCGGTCTCTAGGCGCCGCACTGCTGGTCAAGCGGCGAGCACGCGGCGGCGGCGGCGCGCTGCGGCGCGCAGCAGCCGACCAGACTGGTGTTGCAATGGGCGCGGGCGAGGGTAGGAGCGGGGGCGCTCTCGACGGGAAGGGAGGGCGCTGGCAGTGCCGGGGGGGCGCATCTGCGCTGCAGGGCAGAGGCGGAGGTGTGGCCGGCGACTGCGAGAGCGAGGCGAGCGCCGCTGCTCGCGAGGGGGGGTGTGTGACCTGTGCTGTCGCATTCACACGCGGGCCCGGCCGGGTGTGGCGGTTGTCACAACAGGTGAGCACGCTGCTGGCGCGGCGTACCGCCTCGGCGGCCGAGGAGGCGCGTGAGCCCAAGAGAGAGATGCGGGGGCTGTCTCTCATGATGCTTATGACGGGGCTGTCTCTCATGATGCTTATGTGCAGGAGGGTTGGGAGGGCGTGACTAAGGACTCCGAGGGGGGCAGCAGCGCCGTCAGCAGCTGCGCCAGCGCTCCTCTCCGTGGGGCAGCGGTGCGTGCCTTGTAATCTCGGCTCATGCCGTCCCCCGGCCCTCTCTCCACCTCATGCAACCAGTCGACGCTCCAGATTCCCCCCTCGTTATATTGTGTCCACACAGGCGAGCGGCGTCTCATCCCCCCACTCGCCGGCCCACAAGTTCGAGACGATGCTCGCGTGCATGCGTGAGGAGGCCGGCTGCTGAGCCGCTCCCTGCCGTGATGGAGTAAACGTGATGTATCAGCTTCTTCTGCCTTCTCCGTTCTCACTTCTCAACCACTTAGTCTTAGAACCGCGGACGGGGCGGTTCTCTCAATTGGGACACAGGGTGTTAGTCTTAGTGGTGGAGAGAGCCGTCATTAATTAACATTAACCCCCCCGCGCGCCCGGTGTTTTGAATTTGGGGCGGCTGCGGCCACGGAAGGACGGATCGGGGATGATGGTCTACTAGCGTGTGGTTGTGGGGAGCTATCACGTTATGCTGTAGCATGCGCTCCAGCGCTCGCCGTGAGTCGCCACGCATCCCGGCAAGCAGTGTCGCACACCGGCACACGCACCCCGGCAAGCTACCGTGCTCCATTCTCCCCCCTGCGCCCCGGACCCTATCAGGACGGGCTGTGCAGCCTATGGCTGGGGCCGAGGCCCACAATCCTTCAGTCCAGGTCGAGATCGAGTACAACTGGAGGTGCTACGCGCTGAGGGAGATCATCACCATCGTTGTTCTTCAGCCGGCTAAGCTTGGCGCGCCGCGACTGTGGCTCCAGGAACCAGTCGAGTGTGCTCGGCCGCGCGAGAAAGTCCTTGAGGTCCACCTGAGATTGGTAGATTTGGAGCAGAGTCGGAGACTAGGCGCATGCGGCGTGCGCGAGGAATGAGAGGAGCGGTCCACCTTCCCACCGACGGCCGACGCGTCGAAAAGCGCGTCGACCTCCTCCGCGGTTTGCGCTTGTCCGAGGAGGTCGTCGATCTGCACTAGCAGCTTGCCAAAGTCGGCGCGCGACGCCCACATCGTCAATCCGCGCTTCTTGTTCTCCGCCTCCAGCTCGTTGCTCGTCTGGAGGAAGGCCTTGGCCAGTCGAGAGCGCTCTCGACCCGTCTACAACGGGACAGTCACACAGGATCAATCCAGTGTCTTGGCAGTGTCTCAGCAGGCTCTGTGAAGGCAGTGTCTCAGCAGACACACTGTGTGCAGAGCCTGCTGCTTCTCGACGCGCTCGAGCTGCTCGGACGGGTCGTCGGCTGAAGGCGGAGTCGGCTCCTCGCCAAGTTTGCTCTTCTTCTTCCGCGTCTGCCGCTTGACGGGCACAGAGATGCGCCCGCTGCTCGACTCGACCGCCTGCACCGCCGCCGCGACCGTCTCGCGCTCCTTGGCCTCGCGCGCACGCGCGGTGGCTGCATGCCATTTCTTGTGCTGCGGCCAGGCAGTCGTGAAGCAACCCGTCGTGCAAAATCGGCAGGGTGGCATGTATGGCTCCGCCTCAACGCACTTGGAGCACGCTTGGTACCCGTCCCCCGAAGCGCCGCAGCCCCAGCATACCTGCGCGACCGTCTGCTTGAGACTTGCGAGCTTGGACTGCACCTCCTTTTGCTCCTCCAGGAGCCGCCGCCTCTCGTCGCCCGCCGCCGCCTGCAGCTTTTTCCGCAGCTGCTCCTCCTCCTCGAGGACCGCCCGGCAGGCCAAACGGTTCCGCTCCACCTCTTGCCATACGAGGGGCATCGCTGACGCCGGTGCTGCTGCCACCGCCACAGATGACTCCGTCTTGGCCGCATCGCTCTTCGGCGAATGCGAATTGGCGCCATTCCGTTCTTGCTTTTCCTTGAGCCATGCGTTTGCAATTCGCGCCTCCTCAATGGTGCCTCTGTCCGCCGGTGCCTCTCTGCTCGCCATCAGCTCCAGCCACAGCGGCTTGCCCACCTGTGAACGATGGCTGCGAGTGGTGGGCGACTCACCACCCCGAAACGCGCACCCTGCTAAGCAAGGCAGGCACAGCGCATGTCCGCACCGCGTAGATGCCCGCGCCGATAGCCATGAGCGTGGCGGTCAGAATCGCCTTCTCCTGCCACTCGTTCTCGACGCTGACCTCGGAGGCGACGACAAGGCCGGGCGCAACCACACACGCAGTGTAGCGCGCGTGAATCATATGGCTGTTCGGCGGTCGTCGGGCAGGGAATTGCTCTGCTCGAAATGTTTGGTAATTTATGAAGTTCATTTTTTCTTTTTCATGCCAGCCGTGTTGGTTGGCTGCTGGAGCCCAGTGCCTGTCGCGCAAACATGGGCCCGCGCTTGCGACTCGAATTTTCAGTGTATGTAGCTTTTACGAACTTTTCGTCGTGGACGGTTATGAATTATCTGAAAGACATGGCCGAATATTTCGCCGAGCACGTGTGGGCGCAGGGAGTGCCCTGCGGTGCGCTACCCGAGCACCCCGGGCAGTAGTCCACGGCGATCGCGGCTTGCTATTGCAATAGAGCTGGAAACGCCACAGTCTTCTCTGCTGCGTCCTCGACAGGCTGCTGCCTGCACTCTTCCTGCCCGTTCCCACCCGCGCGCTCGCGCGCTGCGCTACGCCTGCGCCGCCAGCGCCAACTGCTCCTGCAGTTGCCTGTACATCATCTGCGCCTGCGCCATCTGCGACGCGGCGGCCAGGACGCAGGAGGGTCGGCGGTGAAAAGGCAGAGCGGTGTCGGTGTCTCGTTGATGGATCAGTGGAGGAGAGGTCTGCAGAGGAGAGGGTTTGCCAGCGCAGAACGCGGCGGCGGCGGCGGCAGGCGTGCTGTCGCACCTCGTCGTAGCTGCTGAGCGTCCGGCGAAGGCGACGAGGAGCGACAGGAGGAGGGAGGGTGCTGCGTCTCATTGCTTGTGACTTCTGCAGACACGCCAAGACGCGGGCTCGTTCGAGGTGTGGCAGCGCGATTATGAGAAGAAGCAAGGACCTTTCTTTGTGCGGCATCGAGTAGCTCGGATGAGAACAAGCCCAGCTTCCTTTGTTTTGATTGAACCCCACGTGTCCGCGGCGCTGTGCGCGGCTGGTAGCCTTACGCATTATTTCGAAGTTGCGGCGACCGGCGACCGAGTTCCATTCATCACACCTAGCATCACACCCCCAAGCTGCATCTGCCACCGGCCGAACAGCGCACCTGCCAGGGAAGCGCGTAATTCAGGCGCTAACGGCAAAGCAATGCTGACTCGCTCGCTGCGGGGAGCAGCCGTGGGTCAGATCTCGCGTTCGCGGGCATCGTCCATGGCCGCCGCGCAGGCAGCCCAGCCCAGCGTGTGGGAGCTCGATTTGCCGGCGCTGCGGCCAGCCGCGAGGAGGGCGGATCTGCCGGATCTGAAGCTGGGGCCAGTGGTCCATAATTTCAGCTCGGGGCCGGGGCCCCTTCCCCCCGCGGTGATGGAGGGAGCCCATTCCAAGCTCCTTTCCTGGCCAGAGGCCCCCGGCATTTCGGTGAGCGCTGATGAAACCCCCCCCTGTTGAATTTCCTCCCTCCCCTGGGTTTTTGTCGGGGGCCGAGCGGCCCCCTTGGCCCTCCGTGCCCAAGAGTCACCTGGCCTCTTCCTTTCCACCCAGCCCCCCCCCCCCCCCCCCTCCCTCCCCCGACCCACCCCCTCCCTCCTCGCCTCGCCCCTCAACAGGTCATGTCGGTCTCACACCGCGAGTCAGGGGGGCCGTACCAGCGGCTGATGGTGCGGGTGGAGCAGCTGGTGCGCGAGGCGCTCGACGTGCCTGCCAACTACGCCGTCCTCTTCATGCAGGGCGGAGCGCACGCCCAGTTCTCCGCTGTGCCCCTCAACCTCGCCAGCCCTGCGGCCGACGGTGCGCGCAGCTCGCTTCTGAGCACACGCCACCGTCCGGCACAGAGGAGCTCTCGGAGGGGAGGGGTGCCGCGGGTCGGGACGGGGGCTGGCGGCCGCGACCCGCCTCCGGGCCCGGTCGCGCCGATCGCGGCCCTCCACGCCTCTCCGCACCCCCGCACCGTCGCCGGCTCACGACAGATTGGTGCCACCTCGGCGGTTCTTGCTCCCTCACCGCTGGCCGCTCGGCCCGCCTCTCCCAGGCGGGCTCCGCTCGACGTCGCACATCGACACGGGCTTCTGGGCGCGGAGGGCAGCGACCGAGCACGCAAAGTACACCCGGGTCGCGTGGGCCGCTTCCGCTGACCCGGCCGAGCAGACTGGCCTCTCGCGCGGAGGCATGGATGCAGCCGAGATGCAGCCGAGATGCAGCCGAGATGCAGCCGAGATGCAGCCGAGATGCAGCCGAGATGCAGCCGAGATGCAGCCGAGATGCAGCCGAGATGCAGCCGAGATGCAGCCGAGATGCAGCCGAGATCCAGCCGAGATCCAGCCGAGACGCAGCCGGGAGGAGAGGAGAATGCAGCCGAGAGGAGAGGAGAATGCAGCCGAGAGGAGAGGAGAATGCAGCCGAGAGGAGAGGAGAATGCAGCCGAGAGGAGAGGAGAATGCAGCCGAGAGGAGAGGAGAATGCAGCCGAGAGGAGAGGAGAATGCAGCCGAGAGGAGAGGAGAATGCAGCCGAGAGGAGAGGAGAATGCAGCCGAGAGGAGAGGGGTCTTGCGCGCGGGGGCCCCTCACGACTGCCACCCCCCCCTCCTCTCCACCCTCCCCTCTCCCTCTCTCTCCCGGCCGCGCCCTCTCCTCGCTGCTCCACCCTCCCCACATCCCTCGCCGCTCCTCCCCTCGCGACCCGCCGCCCCCTGCTCCAGGCGCGTGCAAGAGAGCGAGGCCGTGGGCGGAGAGCGGCTCGCCGCACGTCTCGGTCCGCCTCTCCCCCCCCTCCCCCCCCCTCTCCACTCCCCCCTCCCCCCCCCCTCTCCAGCCTCCACGGTCCCCGCAGCCCTCGCCCCTCTCCTCGCGCCTTGCCAACCGCCGCCGGCCCCTCTCGAACACCGCCGGCCCCTCTCTTGCGAATGGGACAGTGAAGGCTGCCTCCCCCCCCGCCGCAGGTCCCTCCCGTGCAAGAGTGGGCCTACTCCCACCACGACGCGTAAGTCCACCTCTGCGCCAACGAGACTATTTCCGGCACACGCGCCCGCAAGCGCACACCCCCCGCCCGCACCCGAGCCTCCCCCCCCCCCCCGGGGGGACCCTCCTCCCAACCCCCCCGGCCCCTCCCTCCCCGCCGCGGACAGGCCTCGAGCTCTTCACCGACCCCT